AAGGTGGGCCATCCTTATCAAGTCAACACAGGTTGACTTGGTCAATCGTCTTTAATCAATTTGGACCGGCCTCGGCGAGTGCACATTAGTGACTCGGCGAGTCTATGCATTTTAATCAACAATCAAGGTTTTTCCCTTTTAACTCGTCGAGTACTCCCCTGACTCGACGAGTTCCCCCTGGGCCTGAATCACAGGGCCACCGCGACTCAACTCGCCGAGTTGAAGGTCAACTCGGCGAGTCCCAACCTGACTCGGTCCCCCTGTCAAAACCTTTCCAACTCTCTGCGACTCACTGAGTCGCCCTCAACTCGGTCCGGACTACATACAGGATGGTCTCAAGGACAATCTTCAAGCGACTCGTCGAATCTGTTCTTTAGACTCGGCGAGTCCATGCCATGCACCAGCTAAAACTGGCTTTTGCGGTCAGATCCGTTCCATACATACATAGATCTGGCCTTCCCGAGCTTATTTGTCATGTAAGGTCTCGGTCTTGGTTGCCATGCAATGCATACAAGGCTTATCTTGAAGAAACAACCTCTAATATAGCAAGTTTAGCTTCTAACTCAAAAGAATGGACATAAAGCTTGTCATAAGGGGTCTCCTGGACCTGCTAAAGTCCAGATCTAGGTTCCATATCTCCATGGGACCTCTCATACTTCTAATTCAAGCCAAGAAATGCAAGAAGAAACCCTAGATTTGGCACATCAACACAAAACATGAAGTTTGACTCTGAAAATTACCTCAAGAAGACTCCCTTGGTGAAGTAGCAACAGATCCAAGCTCCCCAACTCTTCAAGCTTGATCCTCTCCCTCCTTTCCTTGCACTATCCCACAAAATAATGAACAAAAAGCCTCCAAACACTGTCACAAGGGCTCATAGACGTATGGGGGCTCTTAGGGTTCAAGGTGGCCGCATATGAGGGCCATAAGGTCCTTTAAATAGGGCTTAGGGCCGAGAAATTAGGGTTTCATTAAACAGCGCGGACTCGCCGAGTCCGGACGCGAACCCCCGCCCAAAACCGCGACCCGACTCGGCGAGTTCGACCTCCAACTCGCCGAGTCCCCTCATAAAATGCCAAAAATATATGAAATGAAGATACCTGGGGATCCGGGCTGTTACAATTCTCCCTTACTAGAATAAGACTTCGCCCTCGAAGTCCCGCTAGGCAAATAGCTCCGGATGCTGCTCCCGCATCTCACGTTCCGGCTCCCAGGTCAGCTCTAATCCCTTCCGATGCTGCCATTGAACCAATACCAGGGGTACCTCCTTGTTTCTCAAAACCTTGATCTTCCGATCTCTGATGGCTACAGGTCTTTTAGCATAATTCAGGCTTGCATCCACCTGAATATCCCCTAACGGAACCACCGCCGATTCGTCGGCTATACATTTCCTCAGTTGCGACACATGGAAAGTGATTCCCCCATTCTCAACCTTTTTTTTCTCAATTGAACCCTTCTCTCTCTCTCTCTCTATATATATATATATATATATATATATATATATATATAAAGAGAGAGAGAGAGAGAGAGAGAGAAAGAGAGAGAGAAAGAGAAATTAAATATTATCCTACATTTTATTTCTACTTATCTTCCTACCCAATCAAATATTGACATGTATGAGATTTAATGATACATTTAATGAAATTAATAATATTTTAGTCCATTTTTCACCATGTAATGTGGATAGGAGAATAGTATGACTAAAATATAGAAGGATATTTAATTTTTCATATATATATATATATATATATATATATATATATATATATATATATATATATATATATATATATAGGTTTCTTTGTAATACCAAAAACATAAAGATTTTGAGATTCAACCTTAACTACATATATCTCATTTACCACTCTAGTGATCCAGTGTGTCGACACATGAGAGAGTTATAATCATAAATGATTATGAAGTTCCGCCCGTTTCTTTCTCCCTGTCCACCTTTCCCACTATCATAATCACCATTGTCACTACCACTACCACCACCTCTGCCACCAACCAACCATATCACTGCCACATCTGTCACCTCTACCACCGCCACCTCTGTCACAACCACCTCCTCTGTCACCAACTACCATAATGATATATTATTAATGACTTTGTGAACATACATATATGTGTAATCATTTATTATTAGATATATAGATATAAATATGTGTAATCATATATGATTATACTTTTCTGCTATATAATCATTTATGATTAGACATTATCTCGTCGTATCGGTATGCTGGAGCATTAGAATGACAAATAAGAAAGAGTTTGATAGAACGATCTCTCGTTAAAAGTATAACAAATAAAAGTACTAAAATTAAAATGCAGGTTCTTAGTTATTTTAGAAAAATGTGAATAGTTGTTAATCCATGAATAATGCACATCTGTTCCTTATTGTCTATTTATGGAGCGTGTATGTATAATCAACATAAATTTGAGACATATGTAAAAGATGATGTGACACCTATGGTTATGGTTTGTTGGTAAAGCGTATGTGGTTAACTGATACGCCATTCGCCAATGTGAGGACCATGACATAATCAAGGATCACACGTCATTACATGGTTGGTTCACCATTTTATTTGTGGGATCTCGACTGTACAAATAAAGGATGCACAAATCCGAATTTAACATGTCATTGAACCGTTCCAATATCTGTGCGTGGTCTGCGCGACGCAGACAAAAGAGGTCAATAAGATCTGCAGACAAAAAACAAACAACACATAACTAAACTTTGTTTCTCCTTTTAGATGTCAGGTATGCATGGTATTCCTCTCCCACATACTCCTCCACCAATACATTTAATCTCAATCAATGCACTTGATTCCGAATCACAACCCTCACTCGTTTCTATCCTTATGATGCTAGAAAGGTTTAACAACATGAAAGCCTCGCTGACATGTAAACACCATGATTGAACATCTATATGTACACATATTCATAAGATGAAATCGTACATTGATAAATTGGATAACAGGAGAGTTGAATTTCCCAATGAGCAAGCCAATGATTTAGTTTTTTACTCACTTCCAAATTCATATCGTGAGTTTCTAGCGAGCTTCCATATAAGAAATCTCGATGTGTCTCTATTAGAACTTTTTGACACGTTGGAAATTTTCGAAATTAACAAAACTAAAAGTTCAACCCATACTCATTCCTTAGATATTAGAAAGGACGATACTAAGCACGAAAAAATCATATATAAAATAGCATTTAAAAGAAATACAAATACAATGTTTAATCAAATATTTATTCATGTTTATATATGTTTTTCTACATAATAATTTGAAACTTTACAAATTTTATTTCATAATAATTTAGAATTTTACGAATTTTATGCCAAAATAATATGGAAACCTATGACAGAATATAAATAGGCAAAAAAATTATCAACTTTGATTTTAGCTCACCAAAAAATTAATGTTAATTGTAAAATTATTTTTATTTATTAAAGATTTTTACATCAATATCCCTTATTTAGATTTTTTTTGAACGACAAATTAAAATATTCCTAACTATCATCATCTATGTTACAAACAAGACTTGAACCCATCCATACCCGGTAAACCAAAGGTCTTTGATTACTTAAGAATGTTTGTTTGTTTTGTTTCTAATAAATGAATGATTTTTTTGCCACTTGTCACACTCTCATTCAATTTGTTAAATATCATTTTATGGTTATTTTGAATTAATTTTTTTCACATGTCATTTTATGAGTTTTTCTATTTTATTAAATTTCATATAATATTTTAATATAATAATTGCAATAAATATAATAATAAATGGATATCAATTTCATTAATGAACTTACCTTTTAATTTCAAAATTCTCAAAATTAAAACTTATTATTTTTCTTTTATTTATTTAAATTAGTTTCTTTTATTTACTTAAATTATTATTTATTTAAATTTAAAAGATAAAAAATATTTTTATTATATATTTTAATATTTTTTTTATTTTCTTATAAATTCAAAATTTTCAAGCGTTTATATTTAATTTTTTTTTTAAAATTACTCGTTTAATACATGAGAGAGAGAGAGAAGAGAGAGAGAGAGAGAGAGAGAGAGAGAGAGAGAGAGAGAGAGAGAGAGAGAGAGAGAGATTGTCAACCTTATTTAAGAAAATTAATTAAATAAAAAGCAACTTTTTGCTTTTTCGAAAAAGCACTTCTTTATTTTCTTTATTGCAATTCATTTGCAGGTAACTCCCAAAAAGTCCAAATTCACGGAAACCTTGTAAATAACATAAAATAAGCATTATGCATTTTGTTATGTTTTGAGTTCAACAAAATAATTATTTACTAATTGATGTGTTTTTCTCAATATTACATTGTGTGACATTTTAAAATGCATAACCAATAAAATAACCATCTATTAATGTGGATTGAATAGTTTAAATGGAAACATGAAGGCACAATTGTTTTGTGCATCTCCCCTATGTGACTGTCATAATCTTTGTATAACCTTTATGATTACGATTTATATGAATGGGATAAATATTATAACATCCACACATAAATGCAATCACAGCTTCCATAGAATCTATTACGTGATGACTATCTAATAATTGTTTTTATTTATTTAACTATTTATTTTTTATTTTAAATATAATGTCTTTTTTTTTTTTTTCAAATTTAAATTTATATAAAAGTTTTTTGAATTCAAATCACTTGAAAATAAGTCAAAATCTAACAACTTTTGATTTATGAATCCAACAAAATCATCTAAAACCATGCAAATAACAACTTTTTTATGGGCATAAGTTTTATGATTCCATCTTTTTAAGTTTCATAGTTCACAAGATTCCGAAAAATAAGTTTGTAGCTTCTTTTAGAACATTTTTTAAGTTCGATAACGAAAAACAAACGAATTAACCCAACTATCAAAGTTAATTACTTGATGTAAACTATTTTTCTTTAATTAGGATAACAATAATTAACCAAAGTTAAAAGTGAAAACAGAGCTAAAAAAAATGAAGAACAAAACAGGTCCATTGAATCAAAGCCAGTCGGAAAAAAGAGTCTCCCAAATCTCAGTGAAAACTTCAAAGATAACCCTGTGATGTTCTTGAGCATTTAATGAAAGAAAACACTCTAAAAGATTCTCAAGATCACGTGCTCCAAAGATTTGTCTTTCAACGATCATCTCCAACATCGAAACCCTAAAATCTTCATGTGGGTCGTTCGATTTCTTCACCACTGCAACACTATCTGTGATGAATTTGCCTTTACTCTTCAATGGGATTATATCAGTAGCTTTAAGATCCTTGCATCCACGGCCACCGCGGCTTTTCTTGGGTTTTTTCTGCGTCAATCGTCGCTCTCTGTTTTTGCGAAAAGACACCGACGAGTCGGAGGAAAGTGATCGGGAGGAAAACATAGTGGTTTCGCCGTCGCTTTCACCTTCGTCATCGGTGGTGCAACAATCGTAGTAGTAATTATCTGTAATAGATGAAAAATCTTGGCTTTTGGTGGTTTTCCGGTAATGGGTTTTCTTTTTCTTGGTGCTTTTGGATTTCTTTTCGTAGAACAGAGGCGGCGGAATGGTAGCAGAGTGTGGTTTTCCGGCATCTGTAGCTTCCGGCAATAGAGTGTTTCTATCGGAGACGTTTTGGTGTTTGGGTTTACGAAATGGCTGAGGTTTAGGGGAGAAGAGATCGATGAGTTGGCGGTGATGGCGGTTTTCCGGGAAGAAAAAGGGCTGATCAGCAACGTCGGAGGTGTGTTTTGTCCGGCAAGAGTTGAACGGCGATTGAAACATTCTTGTGATTCGAACTTTAAAGCCGTTCTCCAT